TCCGGGGGGGGGGGGGGGGGTTCACATTCGGACCTCCGAACTTATGTGAAATGTAGCAAGTCTAATTTTTTTCACTACATTTGGATGCACTTGGATCTTGGTATACAGTTTTTGCTAATTTGACTACTAAAATAAAAAAAAAAATTCGTGATTATCTTTTAATGGGATAATGGGTAACTTATTAATTTCAGTGTAAAATAAATTAAAAAAGAAAAGACCATGAAATGAAAAAGGAAAAAGATTACCAAACTCCTAACCCTAGCCTGAGCTTGGTTCGTGAATCTGGGTTTGAATTTAACCAAGCTTGGGAATCATGTAGGGCTTACCCCACAAGTACCCAGTGATCCAGCTCGTGAGCTAGCCCATTGACTTGTACTTGATATCATTAATAATAAAAATATTTCTTGACCTTATTGAGATTTACCTTTGGGAAAATTGCAACAATGATACAAAACATTTCGTTTATTAACAGGCTTTGTCCAAACTTTTAATTTGTGTCACCGTGTGTATCAAACCTTTGAAAAACTCGCACCTGGAGCCCAAATGGATGATTTCTGTTAGTTTGACCGTTAGTTGACTCAATAAATTGACTTTGACCAATTTTAAAAGGGGTAAAATTGGAACTTTGAATTAAATTTAAAAACAAAAACAAAAACAAAAAAAAAAACAAAAAATCAAAAGCATATAACTGTTCATTCTCTTTCCCACCCCCACTGTTCACCATCTCCTTGATACCCGATCCCAAATTAATCGAACACCACAGTCGCCGTCGCCCAATCAAGAAACCATTTCATTATCAAACCAATCAAGAAACCATTTCATTCCCATAAAGAATTTCTAAGTCAATGTAATTTATGGTGGCGGAAACACACCTTACGGCCACACCCACCATTTCAGACCACCACCAGTGGACACGTACACCACAGATGCTCAATATGATAGTGATGATTTAACAAAATAGGGCCAAATATCAATGTATTTTCTGGGATTTTACATCCAATGCGTGCGAATAAGGGCTCTCATATCCAATCCAACTGATGATTTTCCCATTTTCAATCCACAAATTCACCTACGAGAACTCATATTCATACTCAAACAACTGTGGGTACACAAGTAATTGACCCAGTTGCTGCTCAACTGCCTCGTAATTCGATCCTTGAAGTAGCGACTTCACTGTTCCGTCAATTGCAATTGGCAACCAAAATATTGTTCTTCCATCCATTGTGATTCACCGGTGGTAGAAGTGGGCCTCCTCCTTGCTTGCTTTGTGAGAGCTAAAATACTACTTAGTAGATCTCTTTGATTTGGAAGGGATGATGAATACGGGGTGCATTAATTTAGTGTGGAGGGGTGGGGGTGATGAACAGTATTTTTTATTTTTTGGGGTAGGGGTGGGCTAACTTTTCTCGTTTTATTTTTATTTCAAAGTTCCAATTTTACCCCTTTTAAAATTGGTCAAAGTCAATTTATTGGGTTAACTAACGGTCAAACTAACAGAAATCATCCATTTGGACTCCAGATGCGAGTTTTCAAAGGTTTGGTATTCATGGTGGCACAAACTAAAAGTTTGGACAAAGTCTGCTAATAAACGAAATGTTTGGTACCGCTGCTGCAATTTTCCCTTTAACTTTTGATATAAAATCAGTTTTCTCAAGCAAAAAGAAGGCTAGAGTGCAAGCAACAAGTCACTCCTCCAAAGAGCCAGATCTCAAGCCATCCAATAATTCATAGGGATGGCAAAAATAGAAAAAAATAATAATATATAAAGATTCGTTGAATCCCATATTCACAGGTCCCGTTCCAAATGGGGTGAGTATTACTCGTCAAACCGGGTGAATGGATCGAGGACTGGACATGGGTCATTGTCTCGAAATAGGTACGGGCACAAGAAATATAGTCCCAATCTCGTTTAAAATTAATTTCAAATTTAAATTTTTTTATCAAACAAAAATAAAAAATTTATCATTACTTTAAAGATAACATGAGTTGCTTTTAACAAATTAAAAAAATAAAAAAGGAAGACAATAAATGAGGCAGGGGCCCCGCCCTGTTTTAATTGAGTATGGAGACAGGACAACGTAACAAAATTACTCGATGGGACAAGAGTTAAATGACCGCACCTTCATACTCACCTCATTGTCATCCTTGATAATTCAGATTGTGAGATGGCCCATTGATTAACACTTGATATCATTAATAATAATAAATAAATAAATAAATCAACCATATTAAAATTAATTTTTGATATCATTGAAAATTCAGTTTTCGAAATTAAAAGGAAAAAGCTTGTCTAAGGGCTTGGATTTGTACCAAGTTAGAGCCGAGCTTTAAGATTGGCCTCTCAAGCCAAGGTCGAGCTTGGGAGGCTTGCTGAGCCTGCACTGCAACCCAACATCAGGATTCCATAATTTACATTTGTAGCATTATGCCAGATTCGATCATTTTCTCCTTCCTGCAACTATGCCAATATTTGCTGACCAGAAATAGATTTTGGTTCTACATCAAACCTACCTCTTCATACTTTAATTTTAAAAAAAAAAAAAAGAAGAAGAAAAATTCAGAGAAACCCCGGAACTGAACTGTACACAGCCGTCAAAGTAAGAATCACTCTTAAACCTTCAACAAACAAAGATTCTACTACATAGCATGCTACACGACTAGCCCTACATCTAGAAAGGTTGATCAACACGTTAACATCTTTTACATGCAAGATAAATTACACAACATTTTCGACACATCAGATTCAGAAATCTACACAGATTGTTAAAGATCAGAACAAAGTTCGACTACTGAGAGAAATATGACATGGCTCGTCGAAAATCCAAAGATTTGAGAGCTGATTCTGGGAAATGCTGTGAACCTGGCATCAATAATCCTCCTTCATGAGGAAGAAATACCTGTGGTTGATTACTCATTGCCGAGTTCTCTCCAACTTTTGATGAATTGACTTCTTTCTTTTTCTTCACAAATTCAAAGAACTCAGCAACTTGGCGAGCATACCTTCACATGCAAAAAAGAAGGTAAAAATAAAAAGTAAGGTATTATTGAAATAATTAAATTGTATGGAGGTTAAAATGGTCCAAAGAGTTATTCTCCCTTGATGTAATATTTAAATATATATTCTAGATTTACATTTATCAATCTTTGCTCATAATCACGATTATCAAAGTTACTGCATTTTAAGCACTGACAAACATGCTCCAGCAATTGTCATGTGGAAAACAATGATGCTATCTTAAAGCAATTGTCATGTGGAAAACATTTCAAATTCCGCTCTTCAAAGAGAAAGCAATTCATGCAGCACGCACCAAGGGAAAAATAAAAAATAAAAATTGAGAGCATTTTTAACATGAATATTAAAGATGTCACTTTGTGTGATGTCAGGATTTATACAAATCAAGAATACTGAAGTAAGGACATATTAACAGTTCCAGAAAATAATCTAATTGCGTGTAGACCAACTAGTTCATACGTGGCTATAAATCCAGTCCAAAATTGTCACTAGAAAATTTATTAAAAGGCAATTTCAGTAACCTTAGCATCTACATACTTAACCAAGACGAAAACCAACCAAAACATGCATATGATGAGACTAAAGAACACTGAATCCATGAACTGCTAGCTACTTCGTAATAGCATAGATTACTAAAAGAAGTAAATGAAACAAATAATTTAAACAAACATGTCAAAACAGAGAAAGTTCACATACTGCTGCTTAGCTTCTAAATCTCTGCTAAAATCAATGTCCGGCTCGCAGTCGAGAACCAAGGCTGGAACCTGCTCATTACCAAACAAAGATATATCAAAGGCTTGCTCATCACACCAATCACCTTTATAGAAATGACATACAGGCATAATACCTTTTGGATGCTTGAATGCATATGATCACCATCCAAATAATAGACACG